CTGAGTCTGGTTACAGACAGAACTGTCAACAGGCACAACCACACAGAGCTGCAGACCTCTTCCCCTCCTCTCAAAGTGATCAAGAAAGCCCTGTCTAGTCTGATCCAAACAAAGTTTTTATTAGGTTGGCTTTTTAAAAATTGATGTTTTTAGGCTCTGTTTTGGTCCCCCAACATTGTTTTTAATGTGTTTCCGATTTAAAAAAAAGGCCAATCTGTTTGCTGCTGTGGACATTTCCACACATGCATAATCAATAACAGATGAACTGCCCAGAGCAGCCTGACAGGCCGGCCCACCCCCGTGTGACCCACTCTGATGGGGCCTGCAGAGAAAGCCACAGGACTCACTGCCCTGGGCCTGATGGAGCCAAGAGGCTGCGTTTGTATGAGGCTAGTGTTTAAAGGCCTCCGCCGGCAGAGAGTAGGTGAAAGTGGCCCCTTTGGACCGAGCTGGACACTAAAGCATGAGTGCAGCCTGTCCCGAACCTGGAATGCTCCCCTGCTGTGTCTCATGAGGAGCTGGTCCCAGCTTTCCTGAGCTTCCTGGTAGCAGAAGCTTGTAGCGTGACATCTGAACCCGATGGGGATGAGGATTTCCTGATGGCTGACGGCCAAGCACAGAGACTGGAATCTGGAGAAGAAGAGCTGCTGCCACTGAAGCCTGATTTCCACTTTCCACCCCACAGGTGGGGGGAGACGTCCCAGAGACAAATTACCTCTTCATGGGTGACTTTGTGGACAGAGGCTTTTATAGTGTGGAGACCTTCCTCCTGCTGCTAGCTCTAAAGGTAACGATGAGAGCATGTGTGCCAGCTGCTCAGAAGCGGCTCCCTGTGGCTGCTGACAGTCTTGAGCTGACATGTGTCACTGCTCCCCTCAGGTCCGTTATCCAGACAGGATCACTCTGATTCGGGGGAACCACGAGTCCCGGCAAATCACCCAGGTCTATGGTTTCTACGACGAGTGCCTCAGGAAGTATGGCTCCGTCACAGTGTGGAGATACTGCACAGAGATATTCGACTACCTGTCTCTGTCTGCTATCATCGATGGCAAGGTGAGGCCAGGCCAGCATCCCCATCAGTTAGTGACAGCTCCTTTCCCAGAGGCCCTTCAGTCCTGGATGAACCTCACAGGGGCGCTCTACAGCCCAGCTGTCAGACTCTGCTCCTTTTTTAGCCGCTGTCCTGCAGGTTTTAGAGTTTTTCCCTGTTTCACACACCTGATTCACATCAGAGAGCCATAAGCAAAGCTCAAGATCCAGTTTAATCAGAACCAGGTGTGTTGAAGCAGGAAGACCTCTGACACCTGCAGGACAGCGGCCCAAAGGGGACCGGACAGCCCCGCTCTAAACGCTGTCAGCTGAACGGTGGCTTCTCCTTGAACCTTTCAGATCTTCTGCGTGCACGGCGGGTTGTCTCCTTCCATCCAGACTCTGGACCAGATCCGGACCATTGACAGAAAACAGGAGGTGCCCCATGATGGGCCCATGTGCGACCTCCTGTGGTCAGACCCTGAAGGTATGTGCAACGTGCTAGCAGAGGGTTTACCATTAAGGCTTTAACATCCAGCTAGAACACAGATTTCACAGCTAGCATCCACTGATGCTACACGCTAACAGGAAAGAAGAGACTTTAGGAGCAGAGACACTCTGAGTCTATCTATTCTCAGAATCAGCTTTATTCGCCTGTAAGCCGGCCAAGTATGTGACCATACAAGCAATTTGACTCCACAGAATTTGACTGCAGGGGCAGCCCAATGGAGCTGCCCCTTTCCTACATAAAAAAGAAAAGACAACTTTGGGGGAGGAGTTGGGGTAAGGGGGGGGGGGGGGGGGGCACTGTCATGCCCCCTACAGGGAATGCAACAATAATCTGAAAAAAACACACCTGCACAAGTAAGCACAGATGCAGTCAGATCAAGGACATGCCTGGGGAGGAGGGAATGGGGGGTTGGAAGGAAACAGCAAGAGAGGGGGTCCAGGGGGGGGGGGTGGTCTGGATTTGTGTAAGTGTAAGCAGGCTGCAGTCCATATCCACAGGCTGGATGGAATTTGTCCTTGTGATGCCCATACTCCTGGTTTGGAAGGGGGGGGCAAAGCGTCCGTCTGCAGTTTCATCCAGGGCAAAGTTACTGAGCAGCAGCTGCAAGGCCGCTGTGGGGAGGCCAGACTGAGATAAGAGAGATAGCTTTGTCCCAGACAGAGCGTGTTTAGTCTGCCTTAAGTCCTCAGCAGGTCTCTCCATGAGGATTCCAGTTCAGCCCAATGGTGTTAGTTTCCCTCCATCCAGACCACCAACTTCTCCAGGGTGTTCCCCATCTCCCCACACAGCATTCACTTTTTGTCTGCTACAAAGTTTCAGTCCGAGTCTTGATGACTCCCAATTCCCTTCAGCTTCCTAATTTTTTTCAATAATCTGCTCCTTAATCAGCAGGAAACCGGTTCTAATGAATCCCAATAGGTATAGGTCCTCCACGGTAAGAGCTGAGAGGCATAGACCCCTCCACTTCCTCCAGGCATCCACTGAGTCCCCTGCAGGGTGAGTCCCGGCTGGACCAGACACTGCCCTGCTCACGGTCTCTGGGTAGAAAGTCAGTTCCGTTGAGAGACCAGCCGAACAAATCCAGGGTTGATGTCAGGCTTTAGGAATGGAAATGCAGGAAGAGGCTCTGAGATATGACAGGACAAAGAAAGCAAGCGGGCCAAAAAGAGCACTGGGGGGGGCAGAGAGGGACAGGTCTGCACCTGCCGTCAGTCTGTCCTCGGTCCATCAGTCTGTCCTCGGTCAGTCAGTCTGTCCCCAGTCCATCAGTCTGTCCCCAGTCCATCAGTCTGTCCTCAGTCCATCAGTCTGTCCCCAGTCCATCAGTCTGTCCTCGGTCCATCAGTCTGTCCTCGGTCCATCAGGCTGTCCTCAGTCCATCAGTCTGTCCTCGGTCGGTCAGTCTGTCCTGGCGAGCGCTGTCCTCATGCTCTTCCCTCTCCTGCCCCAGACACCACTGGCTGGGGGGTGAGCCCCAGAGGGGCTGGCTACCTGTTTGGAAGTGACGTGGTGGCTCAGTTCAACGCGGCCAACGACATCCACATGATCTGCCGAGCGCACCAGCTGGTGATGGAGGGCTACAAGTGGCACTTCAACGAGACCGTGCTGACCGTGTGGTCGGCGCCCAACTACTGCTACAGGTATGTGGAGGCTTAGGGTTAGGGCCCTCTGCTCCCCCTGAGCCCCGGGGTTCCAACCCTCTGTCTCCCCAACATCAGATGTGGCAACGTGGCGGCCATCTTGGAGCTGGATGAGCATCTACAGCGGGAGTTCATCATATTTGAGGCAGCTCCACAAGAGACCAGAGGGATCCCCTCCAAGAAGCCAGTGGCTGACTACTTCCTGTAAAAGTCTTTGTGCAGGCGGGCGGGCGGGGGGGGGGGGGCGCGCGACCCGTCAAAAACTGTGTACCATTTGATCCTGCAGCTGGACGGCTCTGCCAGGCTGGCTGTGAGCAGTAGGCAGAAAGCCTGCCCCCCCCACCGGGCCCACAGCGTCAGCCTGGAGAGCCCAGCGCCTGATGCTGACAGCAGTCAACATGTGGGGGGGGCAGGCAGCAGCTGTGATGGCTACCTTATTTAGACCCTCACTCTGCCACCTTTTCTATCCCTCCTCCTCGTGCTCTGTAGATACAACACTCTCCCTTCCAATTTGAATTTCACCACCTTTGTAGGATTTTTATATTAATATAATCATTTAGTTATACAGCTATTTTGAAGGATTAAGCTCTTCAGCTGTAAGAGGTTTTTCAATTGGGCCATTTTAAAGGATTCCTTTGTGGCAGGTGTTGCCTCTGTCTGTACTCTGGCTGTCAGGATAAAAAGTGCATATGCTTTGGTTGGGCCGCCGGGGTCTGCTGCTCGCCCCCATCCCAGTGGAAGCAGCCCGGGGCTCCACACTCATCTTTTGCTTCTCTTAATTCCTTTTAATTCTAATTCTCTGTAGACCTGTCCATTTTGATATTGTGACAATAAAGTTTTTTTATCAATGTCGACTTGTTGGTGTAGTGGTCATTTTAATGGCGTGACATGGTTCAAAGGGCCAGACGTGAATGGAGAAAACGGTGATGATGCGTTGTGATGTCTTCCCTCCTCTCCCTGGCACGGGGCTCCCGTTAAAGCGGGCTGAAGCGGGCCAAAGCCCCGCTCTGTGCACGGGGTGGGCCCGGGGCCGGCCGGCGGCCCACGGCGGGCCTGCGACAGCCAATCACCGCCGCGCAGACAGCCGCCGGAGCATGTCGGCTCAGGACTCACCGGACAAGTTCTGCAAACTTGTTTTTCAAGCTCGACTAAAAGCGTTCCTCCCAGTTCCGAGCAGCCCGTGAGGAGGAAACTGGAGCAGCACCCGGAAACGGGACCAGTCGGACCTGGCATTTGGAGAAAGCAGCTCGAACAGGTACGGAGCATCTGACCGGGCTGAGCGCTGCCTCCGCCGGGGGCCCGGAGCGGCCGGGGCCGGGGCCGGGGGGCCGCGGCGGGGCTTCGCTGGGCGGGCTGGGCTGTGGGGGCTCCGGGAGCTGTGGGGGCTCCGGGAGCTGTGGGGGCTCCGGGAGCTGTGGGGGCTCCGGGAGCTCCGGCCCCGCGGCGGACTCGGCGTTAGCTCGCTAGCGGCTATCAGCGGCGTCCCCTCCGGTGGTTTCTCCGGGATGTGGAGCCGTGGGGAACCTGTTGGTTCAGCTCCAGCGTGATAGTGGCAGAACTCTCTGGACACGATAGTTTCCCACCGGGGAGCCGAGTCCCCGAGACAGGCGTGGCTGGCTCTACCGCAGACGATCCCCCCTGCGCCTCACCAGATCACCGTCCAGAGGAGCTCCTCCGCTGGCTGCAAAGCGCCGGCTGACCGGTCCGACCCGGGCTGACCGGTCCGACCCGGGCTGACCGGTCCGACCCGGGTTGACCGGTCCGACCCGGGCTGAGCGGGCCGACCCGGGCTGAACCGGGCTCTGTGTTGCAGGTGGAAGATGGACGTGCAGAAGCAGGTGGTCAGCAGGCTGCGGGCAGCGTTCCAGGCCGGCGTCACTGCGCCGGAGGAGTTTCGGCGGGCACAGCTGACCCAGCTGGGGTCTATGATCCGAGACAACGAGGAGCAGATTGTGGCGGCGCTGCACAGAGACCTGGGAAAGGTAGGCTCTGCGCCCCCCCCAACAGCCGGTTCAGAGTTTCCTCACTTCTTAACGTGTGTGTCTGTCCACACCAGCCCAAGTTTGAGGCCATCCTCTCTGAGGTGGACATAGTGATGAACGAGCTGCACCACGCCATCTCCAACATGTCGGGCTGGATGCAGCCCGAGTACGTGCCCAAAAACCTGGTGAGTAGCCAGAAGGAGCCGGCCTCCCTTATGCTCCACTCGTGATTTAGAGAGACTGTGATGAGACAGAGGGGCTCAGAGGACTGGTTGTAAAGCTTCTTGTTACACATCTGAGTTGTGTGTATTTCTTCATTTCAGGCAACAAAGCTGGATGACTGTTTTGTCCAGAGGGAACCTTTAGGGGTGGTTCTGATCATTGGGCCGTGGAATTACCCTCTGCAGCTTCTCATTGCCCCCATGGTTGGAGCCATCGCTGCAGGTAGGCTGCATCTGCTGGTCCTGATTAGGGGAGATATGAGTGAGCCTTCCGTCAGTCCTGAGGGTCTCTGCTTGATTTGCAGGAAACTGTGTGGTCCTCAAGCCCTCAGAGATCAGCTCTGCCACAGACAGTCTAGTGGCCGATCTCATCCCCAAGTATCTGTCTCAGGTAAGCTGTGCCTGGTGGCAGGGACTAAGAGCAGGAGCCTCTCCCCCAGGAGAGAGGCTGGAGCTCAGCAACAGGCTGTTTAGTGCATTAGAAGGGTCTTTCCAGAGCTGCTGCTCATTTAAAGAACCCAAAAGTTGGAGTCTGGGTGTTTGGTCAGAGACATCAGAGCTGGCCTCGCTCAACCAGAGTCCTGCCTCCACAGGACTGCTACGCAGTGGTCCGAGGAGGAGCAGAGGAGACCAAGGCCCTCCTGCAGAATCGCTTTGACCACATCTTCTACACAGGTAGGAGCCTGGGCCTGATCCTGATCCTGATCCCGGATCTGGGCCTTATCTTCGACCTGGGCCTGGATCTGGGTCCGGGTCTGATCTCGATCCTGGGCCGTGT